TGGTCCGTGGCGGGACAGGGCCCGCGGGGCGCGCACCGGCCCAGGGCGGGCCGGGCGTTCGCCAGTGCTCCCCGCGCGTCCTCTTAGGAGCCCGGCGGTGGGTCTGGGTGTATGTAGGCGAGTTCTTGAACTCAGATCCAGGACATGGGCCTTTGGGTTATTTCTGCTCAAGGCCAGCGCTCGAGCCACAGCTCTGCCTCCCGTGGTTAGTTGGAGATCAGAGTCTCCCCCGGTGACTTTCCGGCCAGGCCTGGCCTCCGACTGTGATCCTCAGATCTCAGCCTCCACCGTGGGTTTCCAGGCCTGCGCCGCCCCGTGCCTGGCCCTTCTCGGCTTCTCAAGATGGCCTGATTAAAGTCCTGAAAGTTTCCGGGCGCCTGGGATGTGGACCCCTCCCCCCTTTTCTTTTTTCTTTTTTAACGTGGTGTCTTTTCTCTCTGTGCCCGACGCCCCTCCTGTCCTCCCCACGCAGCGGGGTGGCCCTGTCCCGGGCCCACTTCGAGAAGCAGCCTCCGTCCAACTTAAGGAAATCCAACTTTTTCCATTTCGTGCTGGCGCTGTACGACCGGCAGGGGCAGCCGGTGGAGATCGAGCGCACGGCCTTCGTGGACTTCGTGGAGAACGACAAAGTAAGCGGACCCCGGTGCCCCGCCTCGGGCCGACCACCGGGGAGTCCGCTTGTCACGCGAGACACTTCCCTGCGCGCGCGCACAACTCGAGGCCCCTCGCCCTCCACCTTCGCCCCGCACGGCCCCGGTCACCCCAGGCCCTGGCGGGAGCGCTGGTGCCCGGGCCTTGGGTAGGCGGTGGGGGTCGTGAGCAGAAGGACCGCGAGATCGTGGTTAAAAAGCGCACCCGGGAGGACCCTGTCCTGCTTCCCAGGGCCCGGGGTGGGTTGATTCGAGCTAGGGCCGAGGCCTGCCCCGTCCCGCCTGCCCTGTCCCGCCGGCCCAGTCCCGCCTGCCCAAGCTTGGGTTTGGGGATGGACAGCGTATTTAGTCTTCAGTGAAACCTTGTCGATGGAAACCACGCGCCCTTCACCGGACGGGTCTCCCCGGCCTTGGACTGGCCGCTTCCTCAGGGCCGCAACCAATTCGGCTGCGGGTCTCCGGCCTGCGGTCCCCACTGTACCCCTCCTCCCCATCTGCTCCCAGCCCGCCCTTCCGCATGACAGGCCCTTTCTCCTTTCCTTTCCTTTCCTTTCCTTTCCTTTCCTTTCCTTTCCTTT